TGTCCTGCTCCCTGCACATATATATTTCATTAATCAGATATTTTATTACTTTTCAGAAGAAAATAAATAAAAAAACGTCGTAACCTAAAGTATGATTAATTATCACTATCAAAAAGAGAAAAAGAAAAAATCATTTCTTGCCTTAACGGTTGCAAATGTCATGTGATTGAAGTATGCTCGGGTGAACCTAACCAAATTGACCGGTAGTCATTATTATGATCATCAGCTTCTTAATATAAAAATTGATTAAAATAGGATTTTAACAGTAATAAGCGATGGTGGTGTGAACTGTATTTACTTACCCTGCAATTTGGCCTTGGACAACCCATGACCTCCAGTCATCTACAATGGTGTAATTTAGAGATCTTATCCACGCTTGAGTCGCCAAGAACGGGACTTTCATGTCATGATCTCCGCTGGTGAAAAGAAAAAAAAAAAAAAAGAACCAAAAGAAGAAAGAGAGAATTATATTTTAAGTATTAATTATATTTAACACTTTAACTTATTCTATAAATAATCTTATCTTCTATTATTTCGTTTTATATTATACCACACCAGTAATTATGAGTAATTAAATAACATACTATCATGCCGTCGTAACAATTTTTAAAAATTTAGAAAACTTCACGCTGTTAACAACCAATATAATCTGTCTTTGAAATATTTTTCTGTTAGTTCTAAAACAAGCTACCCTTATTTTTATTACTAGTTTAAGTAACGTGCTTCGCACGTGTGAGTTCTTTATAGAAATTGGACGCTGGATAACATTATGCATTTATGATAAATATTTATTAATTTTGATCTCCTAATCAGATTTATTTTGAAAATAAATTCACAATATTTCATCAAGAAATGAACCATTTTAAATAGAGAAAATAATGAATTAATGTTAAACTGTAGTTTATTTTCTATGGCGCGGTAATTTTATGTATCAAAGATTTAAAATAAATATTCTATATTAATTAGATTGATATGTGAGAAAAGAAAAGGGAAGATTTTACAAGAGAAACCAATTTCAGAGAAGAAAGAAAACAAAAAAAAAATCCTGATGAAAGAAAGAAACAAAAAAAAAAAAAGAATTTATGGCAACTTTATTGAGTCTTATTTACCAAATTAATATTTTAAAACTTTAAGTGATATAAAAAGATTAAAAAAAGAGGCACATGAGGACAAAATAGAGATACCATGTTTTTAAATAATAGAGAAAGGAAGTCTCATTTATATATATAGTTAAAAATTAATTATTATTATTATATATAAAAAAGAAGTTTTAAGGTTAATTATATGAAAAAGAAGTTGCTAGTTATAACCAATAGTTTGATATATATGAAAGTGAAGAAGAAAACGAAGACAAAAAAATACAAGATTTTTTAATAGCGTCCAAAAGTGAATGCTCCTTTATAATATAGTAATAGTTATAGATAAGAATTTTGACGTAGCTCAATCCAAAATTTACCTATATATTAGTGATCTGTAGCCTTTAGCACTAAGGTTGGCATGATACTCAACACTGCTGTGAATATTGTGTTGATAAGGTAAGCTCCAATTGCAGCGATTCCATTCCCCAATACTTCCCTGCACAACACACAAACAGATATACATATATATATATATATATATGTGTGTGTATATATATATGTATAATTTATATGCGTGTCAATCGGTGTCATGCTTCATTTTCTTTGCATGCACTTAACAATATTGTTAGATATTTTTATTAGTTGATAATTTATTGACAATTTTATAAAAATTTAAAAAACAGGTTCAAGAAGATTTCGTATTGTAGAAGAAGATTCAGAATCAGATTTGAAGTTAAAGATTGCAAATAATACATTGATTGAGATTTGAAGAGATAAGGATACTGTCTTAGTCAAAAGAAGATAAGGCATGAGTGATTTGAATTTGAACAGATTGTGTGCATATCTATTGGATATATGGATTGTGTTTCAATTTCAAATGAGAAGATTAAAAGTGACACCTCACGTGGAGAAGATAAAGCATATTATGAATGCTACATTACAAGTTCGGTTGAATTTGGTTTTATGTTTGAATTTCAAAGTGAGCTTTATCTGTAAAAGTGGATTTGGAGATAAATGGGAGATATATAGCACGTGGAGATCAAGTTTAATTTATTTTTGAAATATATATATATATATGTACGCAGATGAGTTTGATGGCTTGACAACTTGCGTAAAGAAATTGGGTTGAAATTCAAATATGGTGATCAAGCTATTGATTTGAAGTAAAAATTGAATATGAATAAAGATAGGAGCTGCGAGTAAATTTAAAGATGAGATGTTTGAGAGCGACGACGTGAAACTATCTAGAAGAAAGAATTATGGAGATAATAGAAATCTTATTAAGAGTGGATTTGAATGAGATTCTCTTGACTTTATTTAAAGACTTTGTTTCAGAGTATTTACGATGTGGGGTTTAATGGAATATTTTCAGAAAAAAGTCTGTGAGTTTTTGTGAGCCTAGTGTGTTATTGAAATCGTCTTTCGGGAGAGAAATTTGTTACTTTCGGGAGGAAGCTTTGCTAGTCGAAGGGAGTTCACCAGGTGAATAAAAGACGTGTGATGCATGCTAAACAATTATTGTAAAGATTCATCATAGCGGCGTCGTTATCTAGGAGGGAGTCATTGAGTGAATAAGTCCGTCCAATGTCTGTAATTTCTAGAACATAGTAAAACTATTTACTGTCTAGGCGTAACCCCGCAGATGTAGGTATGCGCACTGAACTGCGATATCATATTGTATTCATTTACTTTCTGCACTTTATTTTGCTTAAGCAATTGAACGTAATTAATCCGAATCTAATTAATTAAGCCGTAGTTTAAACAGTGTTCCAACATCATCTGAAACACCAAACGTAAAATCAGATGTAACAAATATTGCTATAGTATATACGTGTATGTATCTATTCACACTTAAAAGAAGTTAAAGAGTTAGCTTTTAAGGAGACTATGTGTTGACTTTTATAGAGGCCGCATGTTATCCTCATCTTCTTTTTATTTTATTTTTGATTTTCTCTATTTAATTTTCTTTCTCTCTTTTCAATTTTAGACTTTTTTATTTTATATTTTTATTTTCTCTTTTTTTCCCTACCTATTACCTTTTTTTTTTTTTTTCTTACTATTGCCTACCTATTGCCTTTAGCAGATTTTTTTTCTTCTTTTAATTTCATTCACTAAGTGTGAATGAGTTTTTAAATAAGGACGGACGAAACATTTGATGAAATATAAATAATGTTTCGTTTGTTTTTTTATGAAAAAGATCTTATGTTTATAATCATGACTTATTGAAACGCTTTCGCCTAATTTGAAACGTACATTTTGATCTTTTTACTTATTTATTTTAAATCTTGTGTTTTCTAATTATGCCATATTAAATTTTACCCCTTAATATGATCTTATTTAAATAATTTTAAATATGTGCTTACCTAAATAATTTTTTTTTTCTAAATGTATAACATACTGAATTACGCGCGAAATTTACGTACCTTTTGTATGTGAAGTGCTTTGCGGACATGAGGATCATTGGCCCAATAACGAGACAGCAAGTGGGGATACCCCTGCACAGTAACACGAGCCCAGAAAATAAACTAATAGTGAGAGGGGGATAATAAACTAATAATCAGATGACTTTATACTAATTTAGTGTACGTTTAGTTCACATATTTAAAATTATAATTTAAAATCATTTTCAATTTACGTATGTTTTTTTGAGAAAAAATACTGTAACGAGCCACGAATCATGACACAAATTTTCATACTAAACACCGGTTTAGTTTCATTCAGAAAATGAACATGAAAATTATGGCGTTAGCCCCAGCACGTACGTCGGTCGCCTAAATTTCGTACGCCAATTTCGTCTTGTTCCAACACCAATCGACCATTGAAAATGACATATCTAGTTTAAAAACTAAAAATAATTTTTGTTTCTTCAATTAACAAAACACAACAAAACGAAATCATGATTATCAAAGCATTTGAAAAATCACTTTTTATTTGAAAAAAAATAAAAAATCTGTTTTAATACTTGCAGAATGCGCCTAGAGGAACCAACATGAGTAATGTGGTTTCTATACCGCCGTGACCTTCAACAATACGTAGGTGATGCATATATGTGTGTCTATATTAACAATAACAAGGTCTGCTGAAATTTTTAATATTGATCACAAAGTATCTTACTGGGCAACCAAACCATGGAAGTGGTGATTCAGAAAGGAGAACTTTCGCTTCAGAATTTTGATTGAGCGATCTTCTTTCGTCAATTTTATCTTCATGTGGTTTCGTCAAAGCACGAGTACAGTCTGGTTCCAAAATATGTGTTGACCGAATTCCTGAAATGCACTGTTTGATTGAAAATTTTAATGCAATGTGAGTTAAAAGAAAAGTGCATATGACCAAGGTTCAAGATATTTTATGGTTCATCTATCTAACTTGAATTTGCCTACCTCTTCATAACCTCGGAACTCTTTCAAACACTCGGTGTTACTCGAATCAATGTTTCCATAATACTTTCCCCGGCACCTTCTCTTCAAGGACTGAACAAAACGTAGACTATATAAGTACTTTTAAACATTTTCAACTTAATGACATTCAAATGACCACTAGGTCAGACGGCACGGAGTAAGGTGGGGTGGAGCTCTAGTTTGGGAAGACATATGTTCGATCCCGCGTTGTATAAAACATCCATTAATGGATCTCTGATAAGTTTTGTTTCCTCTGAGTGTTGCTTGTTTCACGCGGCTAATACCGGGGAAATGAAGTCAAAATTTCTTACCCTAAATAGTTCATCTGAAATAAGTGCCATTCCATGAGCAAATGGTATTTTGTAATTGTCATCTGATGGACTTGTTGCGGGGTTCCCCAGTATGTATCCCTAGACCAAAAGAACAAAAAGAAAACAAAAAATTTATTAATTGAAGATTACTTTTGGATTAGATTATGGCCGCTTTTTGTACAAAGGTAGTAGAAAGAAAATTGTTCTCTTCTCTGGTGCCATATTTTAGGAACCTGGAGATTTATAGGAGGTAAGATGCCTTCTTCAATTCCTGCATGGCGACATAAACTAATTACTAGAGAATTATTCTTAGCACTAGCCACATGTATATATATTTCATGGTGACAGAAGCTAGAGAATGATTGTTGGCACTCACCATATGTAAATATATTTGAAACTCTACTTGTTTGTTTATAAGCTAAAGTCATTTTCTTCTAGGATATGTGTATGGTTCCTTCTTTCTTATTTGCCATTTGTTATATCTATATAATTCTATAACTCACGTACCGTTTGAAATTTCTTGGGCTAGGACAGGGACAGTAATGCCAGAGTATGAATCTCCGGCGATATATACCGGATTTGAGATGAATTCTTGATGATCAATCAACCACTGAAATAAATAATTTAAAAAATTATTATTAAAACATATAAGAAAAAACAGTTCTAATTCTTAAAGGAGGATAACCAATAACAATACATTTTTGCTTTTTTTTTTTTTTTATAACTATCCATAGTTAATATGCATGATTATTCAGCAGTTTATTTTAATCTGCAGTTGCTTAACAATATTTTTTCCTTAATTGTGTTGCTATGTAGACCCTGAAACCAAATTATGTGAAGAACAGAGAGGGCTCTTTCATATGACACACAAGTTACTGACAATATTAATTTATAAATATATCACCTTCTTGAAAAATTGGAAGAGACCTTGCACTTGTTTTAGATCTCCCGTCTCGGATGCTGATGAAGATTTTGAGTAAGAAAATCCAGTGCCAACAGGGGAGTCTATGAAGACTATGCTAGATATCTGCTACTTGACAAAAAATGAGCAAAATCATTAGATTAATCCTCTCTTTAAAAATGTAATTTTTTTTTTTGGGTTTTGAAATCTTATCTTCTTTATTTTATAATACTATCTTTTCATTATATGTTTGCGTGTGCGTGTGACATGTTTACAATGTGTGATGCAGGGGAAAAACTATATTATCACCTTTGTCCAAGAGTATGGATTTAAAACCAATGTGGGTAGACTTCCATTATATGGCTCAATCTTGTAATTCAGTGGGCCTACAAAGTTCAAACACAACAACACATTTCAGTACTTACTGATTTGTCACTTTTACCTTCGATTAACAAAGTTGTTTCGAATATGAGAATATGGTTAAAGGAGCTATACAAATGTATCATGTCAGAAAAGAAAAAACAAAAAGATCAGTAACAATCACAAATAAGGTTTACAAAAAGAAAAAAAAAAAGATAGTAACAATCACAAATAAAGTTTTTAAAGAAAATAAGACGACGTTTGATTCATAAATTTAAAATCATGATTTATAATTTTAATTTTTAAAATTTAAATTTTTTTGTGAGAGAAAAATACCGTAACAAATTAAAAAATTTTAAAATTTAATTTTTTTTTTAAAAAAGTACTATAATAAATTAAGAACCATGATATTGAATCAGATCAAAATTCTCAAAACAAACGGAGCATATAAAAAATTAGTGATTCGAAGTTACCTATTTCATAAACAAGACCGGACCAAGCAGAGCAACCGGGACCACCAGTTAGCCAAAGCAAGAGAGGGTCTTTCTCAGGATTCCCCTCCGACTTGACAAAGTAGTAGAAAAGCTGCACTTCCTCCGATTCACCAACTCCCACATATCTGATTATATATACACATACATATATATATATACACACACACACAGAGAAAATCTCATACTCGTTGTTAGCAACAATGTTTTGCAAATGGAAAAGAAATAAGAGTTATAAAGAAGACTTTTGTACCCAGTTTCGAGTTGAAAAGGCAGTGGTCCTTGGAAGCCAGGAAGGAATTCAACTGTGGAAGCAGAGCGCGCAAGTGGTGGAGAGCATGAAGCCATTAACAGAAGCGCAAGAAGAAACACGCGATCATAGTACAGACGCACCATGATTAGCCTTGCGATGATGATCATATGACTTTGTGATGCCCGTTCCTTTCTTTTGTTTTTGTTAGTGTGTGTTTTTCTATTTGTATCTATCTATATCTATAATTCTATATCTATCTGTGTAGAAGCAGCCAGGTGATGGTATTTTTTTTTCCTCCTTTTTACCCTTTTCAGTTTTTACTCATCTATCTTTCTAAGTTTAGACAATATAGGAATTATTCTTTTGAGCGAAAAATTCAAAAAATGACAACTCGGGTTATAATTTTATTTGAATTTATGTTCTTTTAAGTTTAAATTTGAGTTTAAATTTGAGTTTAAATTCGAGTTTAAACTCGAATTTATGACTAAAACTCGAGTTCAAATTTCCCTTTCAACTCGAGTTTAGAAACTCGAACTCAAATTAATGAACAGTATTTTTTTTATTCTTAAAAATGCTATAACTTTTTCGTTTTAATTCTGATTGAGATGATTTTTTTTCTATGCGTTGACAACGAAAAGACGAATAAAACTCGTCCCATATACCTTATTAAAATTTTTCATCAGCATTGAGTTTTTATTAAAATAGTATCTAAATATAAATTCAAGTTTTGACTCACTCAAATATAAACTCAAAAAGATTCTTATCTCAAACTATAATTTAAATGTACACAACTAAATACAAACTCAAATTACAAGTTTAACTCAAGTTATAACTCAAATTCAACTTAAAAATTATATTCAAGTTAAACTCTAAAAGAAAAAGCTCAAATCTTTTTTTTTGTTTTGGCCAAAAGAGTGGTCAAATGGGTCGTTTTGGTAGTAGATATAATGTGTGGCTAAAATGTACCAAAAACAGGAAAATTAATAAGTTTGGCAAAGCCACCCAACTTAAGGCCCTAAATAAATGGCACTATTTATTACACTATTCCAATTTGGGGAGTGGAAATCTGACACAGTTCATTCACATCAGCTGATAATAATTATCAAAGATTAAAAACAAATCTAAACTCTCTAAAACATGAACATTTTGTTCTTTTATAGTGTAATTTAAGTGTAATTTTGAAATTAAATTTAAGTTATAATTTAAATTAAAATTAAAATTTAAATAAAATTAAATAAAATTAAAATTTAAAAAAATTTAAATTTAAATAAAATTTAAATTTAAATTATTTTTTTAAAAATTTTTTAGATAAAAGAACTTCTTGCCATCTTTCTTGACAGAATAAAAGTCACAGGACTTCCGTGGTTTTGTCTCCAAGGTGACGAACTCGCGCATAAAAGTCCCGAAGGGACTTCAATGGTTTCGTCCTAAGAGAGTGATGAGGACAAGACGTTTTATCATTTTTTTTCTTTCTATTTGATTTTAGGTTTTTTTTTCTTTCTTATTTACTTTTTTAGCCTTTTACTTTTTTTATCACCCTTATTTAATCTTATCATTTTAGTCAATTATTATTTTTTCATATTTTTTCCTTTTATTTTTTTTTTGGTCATCTTTCTTTTTTTATTGCTTCTTTAGCTTTTATTTTTGTTCCTCTCACGTTTTATTTTAATCTTATCATTTTTTTTTATCTCGATACATTCTTGTTCTTTTATGCTTCTTTTTTTCTTTTGCTTTTCTTTTTTTTTTTTTGTCCTCCTTCCTTTTGTTATTTACTTCTTTAGTCTCAAATTTTTTTTTTCTCCCATCCTTATTTAATCTTATCATTTTTTTTCTCCACTATACCTTTTATTTTTTTACCTTTTTTATTTACTTATTTAGTCCCTTATTTTCATTTTTTTCCTCACTCTTATTTTGTCTTATCATTTTTTCCTAATATACATTCTTGTTTATTTCCATATTTTTATTTTTTCAAAAGGTTCTCTATAGTATAGCCTTTTTTTATGCACTTTCATCAAAATGTTTTTTAATCCGCATGTTGCTATTGAAATATAGTATTTCAAAAGCCCATTTAATTTTTTCTCTGTTCAATCTTTATTATTTTAAAAGCTATTCTCATGAAGATGTTTGTGTTAGTGTGTATTAATTAACAACTAATTAAGATCTCTATTATTAATAAAGTATAAATATAACAGAATAATTAAAACTTAATATAAATACGAAACTTACAGAATTACTCCCGTGTTAGCACATAGCTTTAACTAGGTGAATGATAGCTCGATTTTATTACTTACAAATCTTGGTTATTTTTGTTAGTTCTTAGTATTTTGGCGCATTTTTATTGTGTTTTATCTTACTTTTGTAGGTTTGAGTTAAAATGAATAAAAAGATCTTCAAAAGAGTGGAATTAGGAGCCAAATCAAACCATGAAGCCACTGCAGCGGAATGGAATTCACGCTGCAGTACGGACAACATAAAGCTAGTCACAGGCCCCTACCTCAAGCGTTGTAGCACCCCCAAGAAATTGAAGACCCGTTGCAGCAGGTTTGCTTGCGTTGTTAGGGTTTTTTCAAAAATTCTAACAGCGTTGCAGTGTGAAAGCGATCTACTGCAGTGCCTCCACTCATTTTGTAGTAATTTACGGCTTTATTTGCACTGATTTCAAGGTGAGTCTAAATAGAAATGAATTAAGAATCACAGGGGACGCTTGGAAACATAAAAAAAATGGAACTAAAAGCGGAAAATACGAGGTTTTAGAGAGCATGCTTCGAGATTGGACTGGAACTTGAAGATTTAAAACTTATTCTTCAACGAGTTTTATTTTCTTCTTCTCTTTATTTTTTGTCTTCTAGAATTTGTATTTTTCTTAATTGTGTAGATCATGAATTTGAGATTTGGGTTATTTATGGTTTATGTTATAGAATTCTTGATGTATACTTCTAATTAAACTTTTTAGAGTTAATGGTTTGATATAGTTTTACAGTCGCTATGTTACGAAAATTCTGTGTACTTGTTAATGTATTTTCAGTGAATGTAATAAGCCTTTGGCATAGTTCATTTTACCGATTTGAGTTTTCAGTTTTAGGTTTTTACAGTAAAAAGCTTTTAGAAAATATATCATATTTAATTTTTTCTGCTACAGTTAAAAACTTTCAAAAAATATCACATCTCAACTCGAATTAAAAATCTGAATCCACGAAATGAATGTGGCCGAAATAATTACTTGGCACACGTGTATGATCATGGACGCCCCATATCTTTTATGTACTCATTGATCAACGGTCAACACAAGCAAGCTGAAGTCTATTCTTTGAGACAAATACATATATCTAACTCATCCGTTGAGACGTGAGTTTGACGTGTATGAAATCCACACCCATTTTTTTTCATATTTTGTTACTAACTTGTCCCGAAAAGGGAAAAAAAAAAAAAAAAACTTGAAAATGTGTTGAAATTACACGCATGTTCATATTTGGAGATAAATTTGCGGGCTTCTTACCATGTGTCAAGGCCTTTTTTTTTTTTTTTTTCATTCATTACTGCTCTTTGATTTTAAATAGAAGAGAATACCAAATATTAATGGATTTTTTGGAAGGCCTGGGCACCTCAAATCTCTTTCTTCATTTCTCTCTCTTGTTCATTCTTTTCCTGGCTTCTGTTTTCCACTTAGCTTCATAGTACTACTCAATCAGTAGCTGCAACGGTACAAACTCTGCTAGGTAATGATTAGCTTTTTCCTTCCAATAAATGTAAGTTATTGTCCAATTTGATTCGATTGGAAGATACACATAACCGTTTAGTTGGTTAATTTTAATTTTTAATTTGAATTATAATGTGATTTTATGTGAAATTTTTTTATTATAATAAAAAAGTTAGATATGATTATTTTTTTAAATTTTTTATTATAATAAAATTTAAATTTTAAACTCAAATCAATAAAATAAACGAATCGCGATAAGTATAAAAATTGGGCTCATTTTTCCATAGCTCAATATAAGTTCGCAGAGTTTGGTTTTTGTCGTTGCAACCCAACTAACATGGGAAATTGCCACCTTCTCCGCAGCATAAATCTTAAAAATTTTGGAGATGCCTTAAGTTAATATTTATAGAGGTTCATAATGGATCCACCTTTCAAACATGGCAAAGCATTCTTTAGGCTTTTATTCAGGAGCTGTGTGTCCTGCTCCCTGCACGTATATATTCAATCAAGATCAGTTATTATTGTTTTTAAAAGAAAATAATTAAAAACACTGTAACCTAAGTATTGTTATTATTATTATTAAAATCCAACTCAAAAGAATTATCATAATCAAATATCAAAAAAAAAAAAAAAAACAAGAGTTCTTTCTTGCCTTGACGATTGCAAATATCAGCCAATTGGATGTACCTATAATAAAAAAATGTTATTAGTCTTATCATGATTAGATGCCTAATACAAAAATTTAAAATTATGGGAATTATAACACTAATAAGCTATAGTGTGAACTGTATTCAATTACGTACTTACCCCGTAACTTGGCCTTCGACAATCCATGACGTCCAATCATCTACAATGGCGTAATTATTTATCCATGCTTGAGTCGCCAAGGATGGGACTACCATATCATGATCTCCGCTGGGGAAAAAGAAAAAAAAAAATAGAACCAAAGAAAAATCACAAGAATTATTCTTTAAGTGTTTAATTTTTTTTATTAGCATTAATAGTATTTTTATAAGTAAGACTATTTTTGTTATTATTTATTATTATTATTTTTATTTCAATTTCGTATTAATAATCACTACGAGTAATTATAAGAGTAATTATATAATATTTTATGACGACAGTTGATAACTATTATAATTACTAGAAGAATTGACGTGACAATAAAAGAATACAAGTATGCCTATGTCTTTGAAATATTTTTTATTAGTGTTAAAAGAATTTTTAGTATAAGAATTTGGATGTAGCTGAATCCAAAAGTTACCTATATATTAGAGATCGGTAGCCCTAAGCCGGTGACATCACCAACAAGTTTCTCTTCCAAACTTGTCATGCGCTCCATAATCGCCTTAGCCTCAGTTGTTGAGATTGCGTAGTCGACTCCTCTTGAGGCTTCGGCTCTTCTAGCATTCAACATGTTTCTCAGGTCTCCGCCCTTTTACACTAACCTCGAGTCTCCCTGGGCAGCGTGGCCTTGGTTTCCTCAAGGTGGCACCCTCGGGAGCAATCCTTGTCCATTTGTAGCTTCCCTTTCCTGGACTCGCCTTCTGGCGGCCCTTTGCCTGCTTCCCAGTGATTTTGACGGTCAAGGCCTAGGGTTATTTCCCCTTGTGTTCTTGCTCTCTCCAATCTCTTCCAAGGCACCACGCTGGTCACCATTATTCTGGTTCTCGGCTGTGGCTGCGTTTGGCACTCTGGATGGAGCGTCTTTAAGAGGAGGCATTGAGTTTCTCCTATCAATTCATTCTATGGTTAGCCACCAAGTGTCGAACCATATCAGTTAAGGAATTCAGTTGTGCTTGCATTTGCACCGAATCTAGTTGGAGCGCGTTTGGGGTTGGAACTTCTTCATTCCCAACCGCAGGCTGATTCTCCAGATTGGGTTGATTCTCACACCTTCCTCCATTGCCTGATTGGCGTGTTTCACGGCGATATCTTCAATTTGGCTGCCTTGATTCACAACGTTGCTTCTTTTTCTTCTTGGAGGCATGGCTTCACATTGATTCTCTCACCAGAATTCTTCGCACTAACTAGAGATTCTGGGTTCGATCCCTAGTGGAGTCGCCAATTGTTGACGGTGAAAATTCATCAACAGAATAATAACAAATTCCTAAACAATTTGCGCGAATTATATAATCTAAAACACAATTTAAAGTAGAATTTAAATAAGAACACTCGTATTTATAGTAGTTCACCCTCACTTCGAGAGCCTACGGGGAGGAGAGAAATTTCACTATCTTTGGAGGAATTACACGCATTAATGCTCAGAATCAGACTTAGGGATTTTTTGACTCATAATCCCTTATTTGTAGCTTAGGTCACCGCCCATAAACGTTTCCTATTTGAATTTGAGTTATTTCCCTTATCTTTTGGGATAGTTTCCCAAAAGATAGAAATTACAATCAATCGCGACAATTTTCTTATTTAAATTTCATATATTAGGTTTACATATAGCAAATCTTCGAGCAAATCTCACAAATCTCATCTCTTGTGTAGCATCAACTTTGTAAACACTTTCAGAACTTCTTCGCCTATGATTGCGGGTATGGTTGGCTTCATGTTGTCATATGTATCTTTTTAGAGCAGCCGACCTCCTTCTTATGCCTGACACTTTTTTCTGGCAGTCGACCCCTAAGAAAGTTATCCGCTAATGGGGCAGCTAGAGCTGATCAATTTTTGATCATTTAATGCTCTTATTTAGGGCATGTGAGTCCTATACAAGGTTTAATTTAAGGTTCGGTGTTTTATCCTACAACACATATCATGATCTTCACTGATTTAAAAAAAAAAGAGTAGAACAAAGAAAAATAGATTGAATTATTTTTAGGAGCTTTCTTTGGGAAAAAAAATAATAATAGTGCCTGGTCGAGTGGCTTTGTGGTTTGGCTATGGGTTGTCGGGCTTTTGTGGAGTAACACAAATCCCCCTTCCCCATCGGGCAATAATGAGGTTTAATTTTGAATTTTTGATGCCGCTTTAGGGCCTTCTTCTTCAGCTATTGCCAGTAGTAGTGGAGGTAAGAATTTTTTCAAGGATCATGAATTAAACTAAAATAATAGTATCGATTATTTTGTAATATTTGATTTTAATCTAAATGAACGTAGATTTTGATTGAGCTTATTTCACTTTTTAATTAACAAAATTGTGAACTTATATTATTGTCACTGATTATTGGTTTATTTAGCAATTAAAGTTTAAAACTTTTTTGAGGGACTATTTTGAGACTCGATTTTGAACATGACTCATTTCATATTAGTGACAGGTGATCAATATGATTTTGTATTATTCGTTGTGCGAAGAGCAAAATAATATATTCAATGACGAGAATATAATAGAAGTACCAGAGGATCCATTGCATATACCAATTGGGCCAATTACAAGGGCAAGGACTAAGAGGATCAAAGAAACACTCAATAGGTTGATCTAAGAACTTTGGGTTGATTCTGAAAAGTTAAAGTCTAAGATGGTTCTAAATGAAGATCATGGCTTAGTGAATGTCATCAAAGTCATTTAGTTGTATTTATGGCTGAATTGAATTCAAATATATTGAATTTAGTCACTTACCTTTATTTAGCTTTATTTTGCTATTTTTAGTAGTCTAAGCAGACTAGAAACATGGAATCTAGTCCATTTAGATTTCTGTGTTGTTTTAAAGCTTTAATTGTTGCTTTTCCTATTCTTAGAGGGTTGTTCCAAAGTATAAAGATTAAGAATTTTGAAAATTGAAGATCAGTGAACTGGAATACTTCAATCAAGGGAGAGTTTTTCTCTTTAGTTCTTCAAAGAATTATTTTGAATTTATTAAGATTCTTCTTGTGGCGTTCAATTAGACTTATCACTCACAAACTTTCTCCACTTTTTTCCTGAGTGTGGCGTCTACTTATTCTTTATACCTATTCTTACCTTAATAATAGATAACGGGTAAAGGTTATTGTTGCCTGATTGAGAGTCTGAGTTAGATCGATCATGCATAAATTTCTTTATTGATCTTGGGGTCTCACTTTCTTTTGTGTGGTTCTTATCAATTCATATGCACAAAATGGTGAACGGGTGAATGAAAAATTAACTCTTAAAGTGTTCCCGTGAAGTTAGAAAAACCAAAGGAAAACTCTCATAAAGTTAGGAAAAATAATGAAAAGCTCTTGTCCCACATGAGAAATAGATGAAATCATATTCTCTTTTAAACCTTATAAAAGAGACCCCTACTCCTCATTTGAGAGACACCAAAATTTCATAACCTTCTTCTGCTCTTTGGAATTTTTCTCTCGGTATTTTTTTAGTTGAAATGTTTTGATTTGTTTCTACATTTCTCCCTTTTACATTTTAGTTTCAGTTGTAATTTCAGTTAATATTTCTCTTGATCAAACAAGACTATGACGAAATGCTTGATGGATACCGACGAGACCACCCAGACAACCCAATGAGACACTTCATTAGATTTTTTTTTTTTTTTACTTATTATGCCTCTCTCATGAGGTTCGTTAATATATACACATTTAGATTTTCTAGGACCAAGATTTTGGATAGAGGATTTAATTTTCAGTTTTGACAGCAATCCAAGGCAAGTGCTAAGAAACTACTTAATTAATTATACAAGCACATAAGTGTGTGTGTATATATATATACACACACTTATGTGCTTGTATAATTAGTCCTAGAAAATCTAAATGTGGGATAAACCTAAGCTATATGACAAAATTAGTTTTAGAATGTCATTATATCAAATTAGAAAATACGACCCAATTTAATACAATATGTTGGGTTCCGCCCCATTTGTGGGCTGGAACAAAGAATGGGCCTTAAGCCCAAATGCCAAAAAAAAAAAAGAAAGGTTGCTGCTCACGTGGGCAGCACACCAGAAAAATAGAAAAGAAAAAAATAAGGAGAATTGGGGTTGGAGAGGGCAGTCGTGAAAAACTAGAGAAACAAAAGGGAAGAAAAGGAGAGAGAGAAAAAAGAGGGTAAGATTTTGATGTTTGTACAAGACGATTGGGTAGCGAAACGTTGTCGGTTTCGGCTTAAATTTGACGTGAAAAATCCTTGTGGTGAGCTCTTCCAATCTACCGGACTTGATTTCTCATTTAGCCTCTTTTTATTACTCTCTTGAGTACTCCAATTTTAGTGAGACCTAAGCTTTTCTTTAGTGTTATTGTTATTATCCATCTTTGATGATGATGTCTATATTGTTAGTGAATCAAGAATAGTGTTTCTTGATGATATTATTGTTGTGAGCCTCTAGTTTGATTCTAAAGAGAAACTTTGTAATCTCATTATTAATATAGTGAAAGAAATTTAAGTGGCCTAAGGACCCGTGATTTTTACTCTCAATTTAAGAGGTTTTCTACACTAAAAATTAGTTTTTCATTTATGGTTGATTATTTTAATTAATTAATGCATTACTTATTTGGTTTATTGACATTTTATTTGAGATCTATTTTTATACACAAAATGAAAAAATTTTATTCCGTAATTTTAATATTAATTTTCCCAACACAATATAATACATCTTACTACCCAAGCCCAAAAAGACTGGCAATATTTACAGAGGTTCATAATGAATCCACCTTTTAAACATGGCAAAACATTCTTTAGGCTTGTACTGAGGAGCTGTGTGTCCTGCTACCTGCAAGCATATATCCAATCAAGATTAATTTTATCCTTTTTCCCAAAGAGGAAAAAAAAAGCAAAAAATATTATAAATATAATTGTTTACGTAAGCAAAATGACAACAGAAAATGGAAAATTCTCACTTACCCGGACGGTTGCAAATGTCATCAGATTGGAGTAAGTTCTTGTGTACCTGTCCAATCCAGTAATCAAATATGCTCATTGGCCATTATAATTATGATCATCTGGGTAACGGAACTTAAATATAGTCTTTTTATTTAACAAAAAAAAAAAAAAAGTGATTGTGTAAAGTATGTCACTAGTACTTACCCTGCAATATGGCCTTGGACAACCCATGACCTCCAGTCATCTACAATGGAGTAATTTAGAGATCTTATCCATGCTTGAGTCGCCAAGAAGGGGACTTGCATGTCATGATCTCCGCTGATTTATTTAAAAAAAAAAAAAGTAAACCCAAAGAAAAAATGGAGAGAATGCCTTTTCACCACAAGAATTTGGGCGCAAAATCAATCCAAAAAAATACCTGTATATTAACGATCGGTAGCCTTTAGCACTAAGGTTTGCATGGTACTCGACACTGCTCCGAACATTGTATTGATAAGGGAAGCCATAGTTGCATCGTTTCCATTCCCCTATAGTTCCCTGCACAACACGCACACAGATATATGTATATATGATACATATACATATATATGTACACATATAGATACACACTTTGCTTCCAAATTAGTATATTTACATGTATGCACCTTTTGTACATGAAGAGCTTTGCGGACATGAGGATCATTGGCCCAATATTGAGACAGCAAGTCAGGATAGTCCTACATGCACGTGCCCAGAAAATAAACCAAAGGGAAGAAAAATCAGACTTCATGTATATAATCTACACTAGGGATCAAGAGAATATGTGATTTCAATATCCTAAGGTTTTTATGTGCTCAAAATCTAAAAGCCGCTTGATCAGGCAGAATATATATATATATATATATATATATATTTTCTACACGTCAAAGTTGAAATCTCTATATCTATATAGAATGTCATAAATCAAAATTTTAAAATCTATAAATAGTGTGAAATCTTACTGGACAACCGAACCACGGAAGTGGTGATTCAGATTTCTGGTTGAGTGATCTTCTTTCACTAATGCTATCTCCTTGTGGTTTTTGCAGTGTAAAACTGCAGTCGGAATCCAAAATAAACTTGGACCAAATTCCTGAAATGCACTGTAAATGGAAACTGTGTAATGCATTGTACTAAAACAAACTTTCTTGAATTTGAGAGGGAGAGATTCAAATAATTGAAGGTGAGTGTGAAATTACCATCGGACTAAGCTTGTGATGAAATTTTATAAGGTTATCTTAACTTGCGTACCTCCTCATAGGTTTGGAATTCTTTCAAACACTCGGTGTTGCTAGGATCTATGTTTTCATAATACTCTCCTCCGCAACTTCTCTCCAAGGACTGATCACAAAGGTAGACGATCCAGATTATGATTTTCATCAACCAATTGTTGTCTTTTTATTATTTTTTCCCCCTCTAAGAGAGGTAGTTAGTTTTAGGTGGCTGATGAACTGAACAAGTCAAAATCATGTACCTTATGGAGTTCGTCGGAAATAAGTGCCATTCCATGAGCAAATGGGATTCTGTAATTGTTATCTCCGCCTGTTACTGGATTCCCAAGGATGTATCCCTGAAGACATTTTAAATTTTTTACCCTGTTAATTGAAGTATTTCCTATGAGATTGTTCCATTTTTTGGGTATAGAAAGAAAATAGTCCTCTCGTGTCATGATTTGAGAACCTGGAGATTTATAGGTGGTAAGATGCCTTCTTCAATTCCTGCATGGTGACAGAAACTAGAGAATGATTGTTGGCACTCACCATATGTAAATATATTTGAAACTCTACTTGTTTGATAGTAAGCTGAAGTAATTTTTTTTGCTCTGGATAAGCTAAAGTTATTTGGTTTTAAGATATGTGCATAATTCTTTCTTTCTTGTTTTCCTTTTTTTTTATATGCATATAATGTATCATTCACATACCATTTGAAATTTTTTGGACAAGGACGGGGACTGTAATGCCAGAGTACGAATCTCCGGCGATATAAATTGGATTCGAGATGAATTCTGGATGATCAATCAGCCACTGAAATATGTAATTAAAAAATAATAATAATTAAGACAGCAATTCTAATCCATCATATTCAAGAACAAGAATAAGGATGAGATCAATAACAACGTATTTCTGTTAGCTATCCAAAGGCAGTTCATTCCAGTCTAAAATTTTCTTAACAATATTCTTTCCTTTGTGTTGCTTTATGGACCCTAAAAACAAATTCTGTGATGAACATAGTAGGTTACTTTCATATGAACACAAAGTAACAAACAATATTAATTTCTAATACGTCACCTTATTGAAGAATTCAACTAGACCTTGAACTTGTTTGAAATCTCCTGTCTTAGATGCTGTTGAAGTTTTTTTTGCATAAGAAAATCCAGCGCCAACGGGAGAATCTATGAAGACTATGCTAGATATCTGTTACTTGATAAAAAATGATCCAGATCATTTAGATTAATTTATTCCTCTCTCTAAAGATGTATTTTTTCTCGGTTTCAAAATATTATCTTTTTTTATTTTATAGTAGTATCTTTCCATTATATGTGTCTGTGTGCGCGTATGACATGTTATAATTTGTGATGGGAGGAAAGAATTATAGTATCACCTTTGTCCAAGAGTATGGATTTAAGACCAATGTGGGTAGACTTCCGTTATATGGATCAATCTTATAATTCAGTGGACCTACAGAGTTCAGACGCAACAATAAATTTTAAGTACTTTCTGATTAGTCATTTTCACCTTAGTTCGATTAATTAAGAATTTTCCAATCAGAGACTATTGTTAAAGGAACTATATACATGTATCATGTGAAAAACAAAAACAAAAAGAAAAACATGGTAAAAGTCTTTTACCAAAAAAAAAAAAAAAAAAAAAAAAAGAGAGTAAAAGAGCAGTGATCTGAATTACCTACTTCATAGACGAGACCGGACCAAGAAGAGCAACCAGGGCCACCAGTTAGCCAAATCAAGAGAGGATCCTTTTCAGGATTCCCCTCCGACTTGACAAAGTAGTAGAAAAGCTGCACTTCCTCCGATTCACCAACTCCCACGTATCTGAATATTAAATTATATAAAAAGCCTCCCTTGCATTCAATCATACACATACATGTGCGTATTAAATAATCTATACGTGTGTAATGCATATTTGTGTATGTGTTTCTCACATGTAGTACTACATATTTAGGATTAATTGTGTTTTTTTATCTCCAACATCATGAATTCAATTTTCATCCTTGACATTTAAAACTCCTATAGTCACTTTTCAATCTACAAAATGGTTTAAGAAATTGAATAAACCAATTCTTGAAGAAAAATTTAATGAGCGAATTTTATAACGAAGAACTAATTGTAGGAGGTATTGAACGTTGGGATTAAGAGGCAAACGGCCTTTTCTTAAAGATTTTCTAAAAAAATGGCTGAAGATTTGTAAAATTAAAAAAATATTCGTTTCTTTTATTAACTTAGTGGTCAATCACTGATTAATTTAATAGTCAATCACTGATGTACTTAACGGTCAATTAATAATTGACTTAAGTTTATCACTAATTACTCGATAAATTTTCATTATCAATTAATAATTAACCAAAATGAATTAGTAATCAATCAATTTTAATCAGCATGCTTACAGATCATTAATAAATTATAATAATAAATTGGTTTGATTATAAAAAAAAAAATCATTTTACTAAAATAAAAAAGTTCGGCCATTAATTAAAAAAATTAAAAATTTGGCCATATATTAAAAAAAGTGGTTAAAAAA